GCATTGCCATGGGAAAATCTGCTGTTAGGGACCTCTCCAAAGTACTCAAAAGAGCATTGGTGTCTCTCTGGAGACTAAGGTGCATCTGATACAGGCCATGGTCTTTGCAATCACTTGTTATACATCAGAGAGTTGGACAATAACCAAGGAGGATAGAAGGAGAATTGGTGCCTTTGAGCTTTTGTGCTGCAGAAGAGTATTGAGAATACCATGGACTGCTAGGAAAACAAACAGATTTGTTCTGGAAAGGGTTAAACCGGGTGGCTCCTTGGAGGCAAGGATTCAGAAGCTCTGTCTAACATACTTTGGACATGTTATGAGGAGAGATCGGTCCTTGGAGAAGGACATCATGCTTGGGAGGGTGGAGAGACAGCGCAGGAGGGGATGGCCCTCTATGAGGTGGATTAATTCAGTGACTGGGATAATTGAGATGGGAGTGTCAGAGACAGTGCAATTGGCACAGGACAGAGCAGAGTTTAGGGCTGTTGTCCATAAGGTCGCTATGAGTCGCAAGCGACTCGACGGCACATAACAACAAACAACAACATGTTAGATGTAGTGATAAGGATTCTGACTCTCTAACATTGAGAAATTCATAATACTGTAAAGGATAAACTTTTTTTAAAAAAAGACCACCGTGGTGCAATATATTATTTTTTAAAAAATATCAAACAGACCAATAATGTTCAAAATTGGTTTAGATAAAACTTTATTTTTAGATGCCACCAAATCGATTCCAACTTGTAACAACTCCATGTATAAAGAGTAGAACTATTTGATAGGATTTTCAAAGCTGTGACATTTCAGAAGCAGATCATTATTCCTTTCTCCTGAGGTGCATGTTGTTGTGTTGTTGTGTGCCATTTAGTTGGTACCGACTCAACAGCTGACTCTTAAGTAAGTTTTCAGAGGCAGTAAACCACATGGAAGGAGATTGCCCATCCTTCTCCCATGGTGAAAGTAAACAGTGTGCATTTGGAATTACAGTGCAGCTTCTTACCCTAGGACACCATGGGTGCCTGTAGGTGGGTTCAAACCACCAACTTTTTTTCGTTTTTTTTAATTTAATATTTTTTTTTATTGGGAAAAACATATTGGGGTTACAAGGAGGTGAGGGTTGGGGGCAGAAGGGTGAGGATGGGCGAGGATGCAGTTGCAGAGCTGCACAGTTTGGTCGGTGGGGGGAGCAGGTGAAGGAAATGATGAGGGTCCAGTGGGGACCAGATGCTACAGAGGAATGACAAGCATTTTCCAAT